AACCGGTCTGTATGTGGGATCCGAACCCTTGGCGGGAGCACCACCACACTTCCCAAGCGGCGCACTGTAGCAGTGCGCCACCGGGCCGGCCCCGGTTTTTTTCTTTTTTTTTAGTTTATTTGTTTTGTCTATTAGCAGAGGGCTGCTTTTGCTCTGGCACCAGCTATTTCTGTTCCCTCTTGAGTTTTCTGACTTTTGTTCAGGGGCATCTCAGGAGCTAGTTGTCAATCCTTTTCTTTCAGTGGTAGGAGTGAAAGTGGCAGGAGCTCCCGGGTCACCCCTGCAGCTGCCAACTACCACAACATAACTTCAAAGGTAACCTGAGATCCAGACCATAATGTTCAAGGAGAACAGGCGGGTTGGTGTGACTCTTGAGGTCATAGTAGTTGCTGGGACCAGGCTGGTTGTGTGACTGTTCCTTTAGCTTTTGATGAGGAGGTTTCTCTGGAAGCTGGGCATTTTCAGGGCTCCAGGGTGGGAGGAGGCTGGTGGGTAGGAAGAGTACTGCTCTTTCACTTTGTACATAAAACTTTGTTTGTGCTCTGTTCTTCAATAGGCAAAGCCCTCCAAGCAACAGGGAACTGGGGATGCAGAAGAGGAAGAGGAGGAGGAGGAGTGATGCCTCCAAAGACGCTTCACATTGGTTTCTACCTTCTATGCACAGCAGCACTTGCCGCAGTGCAGGCCCTGCCTCTGATGCAGAAGAGGAAGAGGAGGAGGAGGAGTGATGCCTCCAAAGACCCTTCACATTGGTTTCTACCTTCTATGCACAGCAGCACTTGCCGCAGTGCAGGCCCTGCCTCTCTGGTTCTTTGGGCAAGGGAGATTTTTTTGATTTTAACTTTTTCTAGGTTATGGCCATTTTGTGTCTTCTGAGATTGTGCTGTGGGAATTTGTGGGTTTGTGGGAGGGTTAGCAGAGAGGCTGCTAAGAAATGTTTCAGCCTTAGCTGCCACATTTTGGCAGCAGTGAAATAAAAGTTATGGCTTCTTGGCCCACCAGGGCTCCATTTTTTGACATACTGTCACCACTGCTTCTTGGTGCTGTGTGGTCCTGGTGGATGGAGGGGAGGGTTCTGGAAACCTGATACGCATGTGAAGTGATTCTCTTCCCTGTGGGGGCTTAAATTGGGGGGCTTTTGGGTTACCTCTCCTGTGTACTGCCCTGACTACTTTAGGCTCTGGGCTTCCGCTGTGTGTGGAGGAGCTCTGGTAAAGTGCTCAGGGCAGTTGCAATGTATGTTAGGAATGAGGCTTTTGGAGATGAGTTGAGCTGGAGGTGAGTGGACTAGGGGTGATATTTTAAGCTATTTCCTTGGCATTTGGCATCACTGCCTTCTGTTTCTGGTGGGGAGATGGCTCCTTGGTCTTCACTGCCCTCTACTGGAGAGGGCTGAGGGCTAACCAGGGCCATACTGGGCTCTGCCCTCATCAGGGCTGAGGCCTCAGTCCCAGACTTGCTCTGAAAATTGTGTCAGAGTCCCTTCCCCCTCTTTTTAATTTTACTATTACAGTCATTATTATTAAATTCCTTGTAATAGAAATAAAGTTTGTACTTGGAGTTCAGCTAAGTCTTGTGGTTCTTTCTCCTGTGCAGAAAGGTCACAGTGGGCTGAAGTTAGCTCTGGGGTGTGGGGAGGAGGTGAATAGGATTGGGCTTTCTCTGGGCTTCCTGTTACCCTAGCAGCTCCAGTGTGAGTTCCTAGTCAGAACACACTATTCAGGTATAGGTCCTCTTCTCTTAAATTGGACTTTTGAGGTAACTGACAGGCTTGCTGTAGCTCTGGTGATGATTGGCGGTTGGGAGGTTGCCTCAGACTGAATAGAGAAAGGGAGGCCCTGTGCGCCTCCTGCCTCTTCCCAGGCCTAGGCCATGCCCCAAGTCACACTTTCCCAGGATGGCCCCCACACCTTGTAGCTGCCTAAAGATAGGGGAGGGGACTGCCTTGGGCCGAGCATGGTGCTAGTAAAACCAAGGTCAAGGGTCCGGATCCCCTTACTGGCCAGCTGCAAAAAAATAAATAAATAAAAGTTGCCATCTGGGTCTGGCCCATGAACTGAGAACTGTAGTGAACACCATGAGCGTGGTGGAGATGGAAGGGAATCAAATGGTCCTGCGCCCTGCCCCTTCTAAGTTCAAACAGGGAGAAAGGAAACCTCCCAAGCTAGATAAACAAAAAGTCCTATCGGTGTATAGTTGACCCAGGAATCTATAATTAACACTATTTACTGCACATTACCAAATGACTAGTAGAGAAGAGATCAAATGTACACATCACAAAGAAATTATTGTTTTGGAATGATGAATATGCTCATTACCCTGAATAGAGCATTACACATTTTATACGTGAATTGAAATATGACACTGTACCTCATAAATATGTAAAATCAATACATTTCAATAAAAATTTTAAAAAATGAATAGAGAAAGGCAGAGTTCCTCAAAAGCCTTAATCCTGAGATTAGTTGAGCCTTAGCAGGGTTATCCATTACCCCTCAGCAGTTCAGTTTTTACACAGGATCATTCAGCACCTGCACCTAGCTGGAGCCATGGCTAAATTGGCACCAGGTGTGGCTGGACCTGCAGCTTTGAAAGATAAGAGCTGGAAGCCTTGATGGCATCCGCATGGTGTTAAGTTTGCAGGCTCCCAGAATGCCAGAGCTATGGAGGCCTCAGAGCCTCCACCTGGCTTCCAAAGGATATATGAAAAGCCTGGGGGCCCAGGAAGAGAACTGTCACAGGGCAGGGTCACCAGAAAGAGCTTAGGCTAGAGCAATGCTAAATAGAAATGTGGGTTGGAGTTGCAGCAGAGAGACCCCACCAAGGCCATATCTAGTGGAGCTGTGAGAGCAGGTCTGCCATGGAGAACCCAGAATTGTGGGGCTACCAGCATGCAACACCAGCCTGGGAGAGCTTCAGTGTGGCCCAAGACCAGAAAAACCATAGGGGCAGAGCTGCCCGAGGACTTGGGAACCCAATCCCCCACACCAGCATGCAGAGGACGTAAAACATGGAGTCAAGGTACATGATTTGTCAGCTTTGAGATTTGATGCCTGCCAGGCTGGGTTTCAGACATGTTTGGGACCTGTTACCCCTTTCTTTTGTCCTGTTTTTTTCTTTTGGAATGAAGAATATATACCCTGTGTTGGTCCCACCATTGTATCTTGGAAGTAGGTAACTTGTTTTGATTTTACAGATGGTACCTTTGGACTTTGGACATTTTGAGTGGTAACAAGTCAAGACTTTGGGGATGAAATGAATGTATTTGTATGTGAAACAAACATGAGTTTTGCGGGGCAAGGACCAGAATGCAGTGAATTGAATTGTGTCCCTCCAAAGTTTCATATGTTGGAGGCTTGGTTTCCACTGTGACAGTGTTAAGAGGGTGGGAAATCCTATTATGGTAATTGAAAGGTGGGGCCTTGAAGAGGTGATTAAATTGTGAGGACCTTGCCATAGTGAATGGTTTAGTGCTGGTCATGGGCATGGTTCTGAGGGCTTTAGAAGAAGACCACATGAGAAGTTCTCTGTCTCTCCTCTGCCATTTCTGCCATGTGAGACCCCTGGATCACTGAAGGCCTTCACCAGATGTGTTCTCTGGACTTTGGACTTCCCAGATGCCGAAACTATAAGCAATTAAATTTTGTTTTCTTACAAATTACCCAGTTCCAGGTATTCTGTTATAAGCAACAGAAATGTACTAATACAGCACCCTAAGACACTTTGAGCTCATTTCCTGTTCTCTCAACTTAGTGGTGGTGGGAAAGGTGGGAAGAATTGCCCCATTTCATAGATGGAACATGAGACACAGGGAACGGTAGTGACTTATATAAGGTGGTGCAGCTAATTCTTAGCAGAGCCAGGACTCTGAAAAGAATTATCCTGAGAGAAAGAAGCTGGGGACCCCCCAAAAGGAAATACTATAGGATCGGATACTTTACTGTGTCTGACTAAGAGACTTGCCCAGCTTCTGGCATCATTGAACTCCCCCTGGGACTTCAAAGAGATGGAAGAAATGATCCAGGTCAGCTTTAACAGTCCTCTTCCTGTCTTTTTGGGTGTGGAGATAGACCCTACCAGAAAGTAAAACTCTGCCCTCCTTTTGGTTGGATTAGACATTGAGTAAAATAGCAGTGGGTTGGTATGTTTTACTTTTTTGGTAATCTATAGTTTCTAAATGTTTTATAATGGATACATTTTAAAAAATAGTTTGCAACTAAAATAAGCCAAGGAGAGCCAAAAAGAGTTAAGAAATAATTCTTTGTTCTCTTCCTTTAACCAAAATCTTCTCTCCAAAGTTCACTGCTTTTAGTGATCCTCCAGTGATCTAGGGGTCTCACATGGCAGAAATTGCAGAGCAGAGACAGAGAACTTCTCATGCGGTCTTCTTTTAAAGCCCTCAGAACCATGCCCGTGACCACCATTAAGTTTTTTAAGCTCTTTCTTCTGGTCTTCACTGCCATATTTCCAAGTCATGCATTTCACAATGGTAGCAACAAAAAAATTTTCTCTCTCCAGGTCCAAGTTCATGCATTGTATTTAGTTATATCTCTTTAGCCTCCTTTAATCTGAAATAGTTCCTCAGATTTCTTTATTTTCAGTGACCTTGACATTTTTTAGGAGTATAGGCCAGTTATTTTGTAGAATGTCCTGTAATTTGGGTTTGTCTAATGCTTTCTTATGATTAGGTTCAGGTTATGTAGTTTTCATAGGAATACCAAAAATGATGTGTCCTCAGTGCATCATATCAAGGGCACATGATGTCAATTTGTCTCATGGGTGATAACTTTGACCACTTGGTTAAAACTTCAGAAAACTAACCTACTTACAAGTTAAATATTTATTTATAGATCTTTTTTACTTTAGTGTGAGAGTATATAGTCAGAATACTATGTTCAGCAGGCCAGTTAGCTCAGTTGGTTAGAACGTGGTCTGCCTCGTTTCTCCACTGTAAAGTTACTATTTTTCCCTTTTGTGGGGAGATAATTCTAGACTATAAATATCTTGTTCTTCATCAAACCTTCATCTACTAGTTTAGCATTCATGATGATTCTTGCCTGAATTATTATTATTCAAATGGTGATTTTCTAACAACATCATGCCTTCTATGCTTTATTCGGCATTCTACTTTAAGGAAGAGCTCTTCTTTCCCCTTCATTCACTCATTCATTTATATCAAGATGAATTCTTATTTTATTCAATGGTTTATAATCCATCTCTGTCATTTATTCTAATGTGCAAATATATTTATTTTAATGGCCAGAGTTGGCAGGCTGGTTTCTGTGTCTTTTTGTCATGGCCTACTATTCTTTGAGTACATTCTTACTTTCTGGCACAAGAGATTACAGGTTCATTTTGTACTTTTCCTGCCTCAGCCTTAGAATTAGTCATTTTGCCCAGAAACTCTGGATCCTTTGTTTAGGAAGTAAGATCTGGGTGCTAGGTGTGTCCATTGCTACTATGCAGGGACAGGGGTATGGCTTCTAGGTCCTCTCAGCAGAAGAGTTAGGAATAATGTATTGTGTATGTTTGTATATACGAATTATATATGTGTGTCACACACACCTATATCAATACTAATTTTTATATCTGTGTATCTAGCAATACATCCAATTTCAATCCATTACAGGGTTTATTCTATCTCTTGCTTTCTTCGACAGTGAGAAATCTGGCTCCCATTATCCTCAATGTATTTACTTACTTGTACAATCCTAAAATATTATAGAGAAAGCCATTTCAGAATTACTAAACATTCCCACTGCAGAAAACTAACCTACTTACAAGTTAAATATTTGTTTATAGCTCTTTTTGACTTTAGTATGAGAGTATATAGTCAGAATACTGTGTTCAGCTTGCTGGTTTGCTCCATTGGTTAGAGCACGGTGCTGATAAAACCGGGGCTAGGGTTTGATCCCTGTACTGTTCAGCAAAAAAAAAAAAAATACGGTACAGCAGGCACCCTAAGACACTTTGAGCTCATTTCCTGTTCTCTCAACAGTGCTGATAAAACCGGGGCTAGGGTTTGATCCCTGTACTGTTCAGCAAAAAAAAAAAAAATAATAATAATAATACTGTGTTCAAAAGTTTATTTGTGTTAATTTTCCCCCCCATTCTTCAGTGTGGTTGGGTTATTCACTTAGGTTAATTTCTTTCTTTTTTTTTTTTTTCTCGGCAGCTGGCTGGTACGGGGATCCGAACCTGTAACCTTGGTGTTATAAGGCTGCACTCTATACTTAGGTTAATTTCTGTTTATATTCCATTTTATGTGTTTTTTTCTACCCAGACTTGTTAATTATATTTTATAGTTTATAAAATATTAATATGGTTCTAAGTTAAAACTGCAAAATGGTCTACTAAGAAATGTCACTAACCCCCCATACCCTTCACCCGCATTAACATCTTCATCCTTTTGACCTTGTTTCCATCCACCGTCTGGGCCAACCAATCTCATTAGCATCTGTTTTATTTCTATTTTTGTCCTTTTACAAAACTTTCCTGTTGTTTCTTTTTGCCATAATAACCAAACACATCTTGTATTTTCTTTTCTTTTTCTTCTGTGGTGTCC